GGGTTGAGAAAATAAATATGTTTATTGTTTTTAATTAAAAAGTAATTTGTGTAAAAATCTGTAATAATTCCTGCGGCAGTGAATCAATATCTACTCACATACGGTATTAAAATTCAAGCAAATTCATTCAGTATTGAGGAACTTAGAAGTGGTTCAGTTGCACGAGTCCACAGGCGAGGTCTGCAAAAGTGTCGATTCAGTGAAGAAATAGGCCCATGTCCTGTTGCCGATTCTTGTACTTGTCGTGACTTGATTTACAAGGTTGATTTTTATGTTTAGATCATTTCATTTGTTGAAGTTCACTCTGTGATGAATGATTCAGGAAAGTGTTATGCTTAAATTTGCAGTACACGCATGAACAACAGAGGTGCACAATCATAGTTTCAATTTGTTTGTCGAATGCAAGTAGCCATATATTAAATAGAGTTGAGGTTTCATAATTCTGGTGATGGAGTATTTAAAACTGAGTAAGCAGTTCTGGATAAGAGTAAGGTGTGACCTCCAAATTTTAGGGAAGGCTTGCATTTGTTTACGCACAATATTTAAGGATCTGAGGTGAAGCAGTGAGTTCATTAGTAAAGAAACCTAAGAAGATACCGCTGGTTTGAAAAAATTAAACTATTAATGCATTATCTGATAGGTGTTTGTTGCATATAAAGAATATAAGGTACATGGACCTAAGGTTATCTCACTATTAACGACTAGTGTTTTCATTGTTAAGTTATCAAACTACTGAAGAAACCTATCAATTATTGACTGCATAAATCCTATTGGCTATCAACTGGCATGCAGTTGTTCAACAACTTGATGACCTTGAGATAAATTTTACAACGACTCTTGTGCCACACTATGAGACCTGGATGTTGGATGGATCAGGATGCAGTGAAGCTTGTCTGGAAATCAGTTGTGATAATGCTGTGCGTGGAAGTTAAGGGATATACTTTCAAAGTTGTTAGCAGCATTTTCTTATTAAAAATTACCTGGGTGCGCCCTCTGCACCCCACTGTGCAGAGAGTGGAAGAATATTGCAAGATCTTCGGCGATGCTTCAGTAGCAAAATTTACGCCTTCAGAAGATCTTGCTGACACATTTAGATTGAAATTCTTGCATTTAATATATTTGTCAGTCTTTGGCCAACTATNGTAGCCTCAGTATTAGGCCTTTAATGCCCTTTGACAAAAATTTTCTATGTCAAATAGTTTTTGAGTTGTGGGGGTTTTTGTTAAAAAAACGAAAAGTGGTCTAAGTTACCCCGCCGGTCTAAGTTACTTCATTTTACGGCAGCTTTAATGTGACAAATTTTTTATACATTTGGAACCTTGTGGCCCGATTGTGCATTTTTGTTGACAATTAGCTATATAAAAGGTAATTCATCTGACAGAAATCTCACGGTTCTGGAAATGGTCGGAAAGCTCTAGTCGCAGCCCTAAGGTTAGAAGTTTTCCATGCTTAATTGAAGATATGCAAGCAAATGCACGATTGTAATAGTTATAATTAAATAAATTTAAACTATGGATCAGGAACGTGTGAACTATTATTTTATTTATAATTTAAATAAGAAGTTATAGTTACAAATTAAAATTTTACAAAATGTGAACTGAAGTTAAATTTTTGAACATATCTAAAAATGAGTGGGCCATGGGCCAAGATTCTGGGTTGTTACTTTGAATTTACTAGTAAGTATCCTGATGAATAGGACTAGCATTATCATATATAAGAGATTGATTAAAATATAGAGTTGAAGAAGTAGGCTAATTGAAAATTTACTAATTCTAAAAAATCATTGGTTTGCTAGCCTACTAGGCTATGCCAGCTAGATGAATTATATCCTATTCAATTGTTAATAAACCTGTAAGGCTGTATCATTAGGCTGCACGCCTGCACCTGCAAGATTCCAAATGTAGCTGTGAAAAATTTGTTAGCCTACCTAGGTATTTTGGGGCAGCAAGATTTTTTCACAAGTAGGACTGTATGGTCTGTACCTAGTCCTAGTGTAGGAGACTAGGAGAATTCCAGTCTAGGGCCTCGACACACCATCGGCCTCACCAGTCACCACCTCAGTCACAGTGTAACTGCCTCACAGTTTTACTGGGCAGGGACCGCAGGGTGGCCCAGTGGTTACAGTTCAGAGTAGGTACCAAGATAGGCGCGGGTTCAATCCCAGCCCCCAGGCCCCAGCTCTGTCAGCCTCTGTGCATAGTGGCAAAGCAAAGAGTTTTTTAGACTCTCCCTCAAGTTCAATTTTGAGTACTACCTATCATAGATACCAGCATAATCATACATAAGAAAATGGCTTAAATATTGGGTAAATAAGGAAATTAAATATGAACTGATTCCAAAAAATCTCTGGTTTTCTCTGCCCTCTGGCATAGTGGCAAATGGCAATGCAGACTTTAGCAGAGAGTTTTTTAGACTCTCCCTCAAGTTCATTTGTGAGTCCTATAAGTAGACCAGTAAAGTATCCTGGATACTAGCAGTATCATACATGAGGAATTGATTTAATTCTTAGGTAAATAAGGAAATTAAAAATTAACTGATTCTAAAAAAGCTGTGGTTTGCGGTTTGCCACTATGTTAAATAATAATCTCTGGTTTGCCACTATGCCTCTGTGTGTCAGTTACTGATCAGAATCGGCGAGGAGGCCGGGCGGTTAAGCAAAGGCAGAATTGTAGCAGTGAGTTGCGAGTTCGAGACCGCAAAACGCTGTGAATGTTCTGCGATATTAAGAATCTGCTATAGGCCGCCTACGGGCTACGGCCTTATAAACGCTGAAACCGCTATTATTATTAATAGAACTGGGCATAATGGTAAGGACTATAACGCGGTTGGCCTTCTGCAAAATTCCACTCTGCCGGAGTACAGATTTAATTTTAACACAACGCAAATCTTGCCGGCACCACACAACGCACGAGGCCACGAGCTAACCAAAGTGTCTCGACGCATCAACAAAACTCAGCATCTTTTAGCAAAACAACGGATTCTGACGACGCCTTGACGTGAGGTCACCTCTGAATGATACGCATTCATGTTCCAGATTACAAGTCAAATTTTTCTCCGCATAAATTTAGGACTAAACCACACCTATATATTTCTTAATTACCTGCACATCCTAGAATTCTAGCGATAGTTTTACGGAGACCAATAATTCAAATTTCCCATGATGATAGCCTCAATAAGTGGTCCCTTAGACCGGATTGTGTATTTTTTATTGTGAATAGTTTTTACTAATCAATGTATTAATGTATGATACATACATACATGTTTTTTTTTTGTTTATTAGCTTATTTATAGTAAAATATTGAGTCTGCTCATAATAAGCTTAGCTTATCTGACCGTAAATGAACCATTTTTAAAGATTTGAAAGTTATTTCCATGTTAGTAGGTCAATAAAATATTTACACATAATTGACTGGTTTCCTCTGTGAATTCGAGAATGGTGACAGGAATGTCTGGCTGACGGCCTCTAAAAAGTTTTACTCTCACCCCTACATATCAAATAGGGATTACGAAACAATTTGTGAAAGCATTAAACAACGAAGTTGAGTGCTTTTAGTACTTTTGCTTGAAGTTTCCTAAAATACTCGATACTAAGCTGAAAGAGGGAAAATGTATTGGAGTTGTCATAAGAAAAATTCAGAAAGACGAATCCTTCGTCATCAAAATGGAGTGGTGGAAATAATGCCTGGTATTCAGTTAAACTAGTTCTAACAGTCTTTCGTAAAAACAATAAGATTCAGAGAACAGAAATCAGGTTGCTAAATTAACAGAAAACAAGCAAATACTGGAGAGCAACATAGGTGTCAGAGACCATTTCCTTTACCCTCATGACCATGCTGTGTACCTATTACGTTAACTAATATGCAGTGAGTTAATAATAATATTGGAGTTAATAACTTAATGTGGAGTGGCAAATAAAACCCCCACAACCATTTCCATTAAACTCATGGTCATTTTTTACCCTCATGACTATTTCCTTTACCCTCATGACCATTTCCTTTACCCTCATGACTATTTCCTTTACCCTCATGACCATTTCCTTTACCCTCATGACCATTTCCTTTACNCCTTCGTCATCAAAATGGAGTGGTGGAAATAATGCCTGGTATTCAGTTAAACTAGTTCTAACAGTCTTTCGTAAAAACAATAAGATTCAGAGAACAGAAATCAGGTTACTAAATTAACAGAAAACAAGCAAATACTGGAGAGCAACATAGGTGTCAGAGACCATTTCCTTTACCCTCATGACCATTTCATTTACCCTCATGACCATTTCAATTACTCTCATGACCATTTTCGGGAGAATCTTCAAGCTGTGACGAACAAGAACATTTGCATGAAGATACCGAAGAAATGGAGAGCAGGCACCAAGGTTGATGATATGTCAACATGATGGTAGTCCGACTAATGTCGATCAGGGTGCAGGGCAGGGTGGCCCAGGAGTTACAGTTCAGAGTACCAAGATAGAGCAGAGGGGTGCGGGTTTGATCCCAGCTCTCTGCGCCAGTTTCTGGTCAGAATAGGCAAGGAGGCCGGGCGGTTAAGCACAGCAGAATTTGACAGCGAGTTGCGAAGTTCGAACCCGCAATCAAGCTGTGGATGTTCTGCGATGTTGAGACTCGGCAACAGGCCTTTACGGCCTAATAAACGCAGAAACCCTTATTATTATATTATTATCTCAAAAAGGCAAAAAAAAAAAAATACGCCGAGAAAGCACCAATATAAGCTTTAATGGAAAATGTCAGGATTGGAGCAGAGAGGCGCGGGTTAGATCCCAGCTCTGTGCGCCAGTTTCTGGTCAGAATCGGCAAGGAGGCCGGGCGGTTAAGCAAAGCAGAATTGTAGCTGCGAGTTGTGAGTTCGAGACCGCAAAATGCTGTGAATGTTCTGCGATGTTAAGAATCGCCGGCAGGCCTACGGCCTAATAAATGCTGAAACCGCTATTATTATATTATTATCTCAAAAAGGCAAAAAAAAAAAAATACGCCGAGAAAGCACCAATATAAGCTTTAATGGAAAATGAGAGTTATCTAACAAAGACATATAATAACGTTATAACATAACTCAATCAATACTACTATAAATATTTCGACAAAAATATTATAATGTGTTTAGCTTTTACTTCATCATAAAATAATCAAAAAGTTTTCGTTTTCGTACGTTTCCATAACTTTTCAAAATTATTTTACAGGGAAGTCTTACGTGACAGAATAAAAATAATATCATTTCAGAAATCAGTGCAATAAAACTAGAGTAATATCACCCAACCAATTCAAAAAGATTCAGACAAAGTTTTTTTTGCAAGCCTGTTTAATCAGTCAATCCATCTGGCGCAGTCACTGATAGGTAGCGGCGTTAACTATATTTGAGTTGAGAACTAGTATATCTACACCTTGGCCTATTGTACGATTAAATGACAGAATATAAGTTCAGTAACACCCTCCTTTATTAGAAAATAAAGCTCAACTTTGAGACTAATGTGATCAGAAGATGACAGCTCAATCGTCTGAGTTGTATTCAGACGGGAAGTTTTGCACCTGGAAATGTCACCTCTACTGAAGCGTCTTCCAAGATATGCATATTGCAGCGGGCCGAATTATTTCATTTTGGTCATGCCTACGTATTTGTTCATCGTTTTAAACCACTTTATAAAGAACACAAATTTGCTTTTGCTGTTAATTATTATCATCTTCGCAGTAGAAATCAATTTTAGATTATCGCCGTATGCATGAAAAAACGTAGCGAAAGTAGGTACCAGCCTTCGTCGTTTAAGTAAACTGTGCAATTTCTGCATATTATACACTAATTATACTAAATATTTTAGGCATCTTGGTAGATTTTAAATTTAATGAACTGAAATAGTGTAAGAACTCCGCAGGAATGTGACAAGAATGAGAGCTTGAGGCACCCATCCAGCATGACGCAGCATGACAGTCAAGGCACCCATCCAGCATGACGAGCATGACAGTCAAGGCACCCATCCAGCATGACGCAGCATGACAGTCAAGGCACCCATCCAGCATGACGCAGCTTCGCAGGCAGGTAGACGGAAGTCAGAAAGTCGGGGGCGATGTGGACCAAGTTTTGGATCTCAGCTTTGTAGCCCAGCCTCTGCATCACACTCGTCTGCGGGATGGTGAAGGCTGAACATCAAGCAATGAAGTTGCACTGTACATATTGTCACCAAAATAAATTGAGAAAAAAGATTCGGTGAGATGGGAGTTAAAATAAGCCTCTTCATACAGCAATCTGAAACATTTACAATGGTAACGACATTAATATGAAATTCGATGCGGAGTTAATCCTTTCGTTGCATATTAGAATTAGGAATGAAGAATAGCATTTTATAATAAATCTTGGTGAAAAATCCTAAAGCTTGACGACAAGATAAAAGAAAACCGAAATGCCAACACGTCACTTGTGAACGTGAGAACGTCTTCCAATTTCTACGGTGGATCAGTGATATCTTCTAGGAGCGAAGGAACACTCAGGAGGAACTGTACCGCTCGCCTAGAGCTGCATCAAGCACATCGATAGTCAGTTTATCTGTAATTTAATATATTGTGCAAATATGCTGTCTAAATACTGTACATATACTATACTGTATATTTACAAATACCGTCGTTTATCGGTATTATTGCATTTTGATAGCGCCACCTCTACTTTTTCTTACAATGATTGCAGTGCTGGTGTCGACGAGAGCGTTCATTGAAATGTAAAAGTGCCAAATATTAATGGGACATTATAAAATCAAGTAGGTTAGCCCGAATTCTGTTGCTCTTAGAACTTTTTATAATTTAATACTACTATAACGATATGTTATGAATATATTGGGAAAAATTTTGTGTGCTAACAGGTTGGTTGCAAGCTTTGTGTGTGCTGGCTTACTGACAACATTACCTGGTGGAAGTAAGAAGGATTTAGCTGCATTTTAAGACCCAATAACTAATGGTAAGTTAATAGAACAATGAACCATGTATTATAATAAATTTGTAATTTTAAAAATACATATGTAAACATATATAGCACCTGGTGGAACCAAGCAGGGTTGTCCATAATGCTTGGGTGTGCCTGCAGGGTGGCAAGCTTGCCATAGTCAGATGGCAGGAGTGGCAGACGGTGGCGCTCAGGGAGCTGTAGCCCCGCCAGGTCAGAGGGCAGCACACCCAGCCATACGAGCCCTGCTGTGCAGTACTCGGGCTCGCTGTGACTCTGCCATTCATATAATACTATTATTATGTTATTATATAAAACTATTATTATGTATGAACGTTATCATGTGATGATGAAGGAATAATGTTATAAACGTTATGTTATGGAAGGAGGAATGTTATAAACGGAGCAATGGTATAATGAAAAATAATATTATAAACGAAGACATGTAATATGATTACTTTATGAGACGGTCATGGACACATACGAGATAACTTAATGAAGAGATAAGTGATCGTACATTAGAACCAAACTTGTATTAACACAAATAACCATACATTAGAACACTTGTATTAACTCAAGTAACCATACATTAGCAACACAAATAACCATACATTAGAACACTTGTATTAAATCAAGTAACCATACATTAGCAACACAAGTAACCATACATTAGAACACTTGTATTAACACAACCATACATTAGAGCCAAACTTGTAGACGGCCGCAATGTGCAGGCCGTGAGGGTCGGCGTCAGTGAGGGCCAGCACGGGCAGCTGAAGCTCGCGCCACAGTCGCGCGCACAGCTCGCGCGTACACAGGTCAGGGTAGCCTTTGCCCTGCACGCATCAAACTATTTATTTAGTAATCGTCATAATAAATAGAGGCTGATTACTAGACTCAAATAATAAATTAGTTGATTATTAGACTCAAATAATAAATAGAGGCTGATTATTAGACTCAAATAATAAGTAGAGGCTGATTATTAGACTCAAATAATAAGTAGAGGCTGATTATTAGACTCAAATAATAAATAGAGTCTGATACTAGACTCAAATAATAAGTAGAGGCTGATTATTAGACTCAAATAATAAATAGAGGCAGATTACTAGACTCAAATAATAAATAGAGGCTGATTACTAGACTGAAATAATAAATAGAGGCTGATTACTAGACTGAAATAATAAATAGAGGCTGATTATTAGACTCAAATAATAAATGAACTAATTATAAGTCCTAAATAATAAATAGAGCCTGATTTTTTATCCTGCATACCTATATATTAGCCTGCTTGAATCGCAAGTTAACCGTCAGGTCAGAGTAGTCTTTGCCTTGAGTCCTTCAAACAACAAATATTGCTTATCAATAATTATTAAATAGGGATGACATCATCTTAGAATTTTTAAACTCGTCCACGTCTTAAAATGGCGCACAAATTTTCTGGATAAGACGAAAATAATTAATGTTACTTATTTAACACGGGAGGGGGAGTAACTGAAGAGACGCAAGAAATAGTTTATACATAAAGTGTATGAGGCGTGTACAGGAGTGATAATATACTAAATAACTAAATTTACTGTAGTAAGTATTAACTAAATACAGTTAATTCAGAGCATTATGTGTTTTGATCATATACTGACGGTGAGAAGGATGCAGGGGCCGTAAGCCCTCAGGAAATGAGCGTCAATGATCTTCTGGAAGGTGCAGTCCTTCTCCACGACGAGAACATAGCGCGCGTCTGACTGCAGCTCCCGCAGCCCGCTCACGCAGTCCGGCACCAGCAGTCCTGGGGGCAGGCGGTGTTACGTTTAATAATTAATACATAATATGTTCAGATTTGAAATGCTTAGCACCATATCGAGCCCGGTGGAAGTCTAGTAGCTATTTCAAACTATCGTCAGCCATGAAGAGATCCGGTCAAATGACACGATTTTAGATCTTCTGTGAACAAGGCACGAAAATTAAGAATCGGCGACAGGCCACATCAGGCCTGCACTTAAGCGCCGAGATCAATATGTTATGTTATGTCACGTCATAGCGTGCGTCTGACCGTAAATACTCACGGCCACAACAGCAATAACTGAAGTGAAGAGTTAAAGAGTCACGACCACAACAGCAATAACTGAAGTGAAGAGTTAAAGAGTCACGGCCACAAGTGCAATAATTAAAGTGCGCAGGAGACTTGCCGTTACTGGCGGAGGCGACGTCGACTGCGACGCCCTCTTGTGTGACGTACCGCAAGCTGCCCGCCATCAGGCCCTTCGCTGCAAACACAACTTGAGTTATTGTCGTAACAAAGTTATTGTCGTAACAAAGTTCACTTGAATTACCTATCTAAGTTGAGGCGAATTATCACGTTACTCAGTGTAGGTAATAACATATCACGCAAATAGAGACATATTTGCAAGTCTATAAACGTGGCATAATTGAAAAAACCTGTAAGTTAATACAACAAATTATGTGGGTAATGAAGGAGCAGCAAGAGACCGGTGTTGGTGAGGTGCAGCAGGCGTCGGGGCACCCCCAGCAGCCGCTGCAAGTCCTCTGATGCGCGCGTCACCGCCGCCTGACTCTCGTACACCCACGCCCCTTCGTAGTACACGTCTCTGTGGGGGACATGTCCATTACACGCCCCTTCGTAGTACACGCCTCTGTGGGGGACATGTTCATTACACGCCCCTTCGTAGTACACGTCTCTGTGGGGGACATGTTCATTACACGCCCCTTCGTAGTACACGTCTCTGTGGGGGACATGTTCATTACACGCCCCTTCGTAGTACACGTCTCTGTGGGGGACATGTTCATTACACGCCCCTTCGTAGTACACGTCTCTGTGGGGGACATGTTCATTACACGCCCCTTCGTAGTACACGNCGGGGCACAGTACCCGTGAGTGTTGCGGGGCACAGTACCCGTGAGTGTTGCGGGGCACAGTACCCGTGAGTGTTGCGGGGCACAGTACCCGTGAGTGTTGCGGGGCACAGTACCCGTGAGTGTTGCGGGGCACAGTACCCGTGAGTGTTGCGGGGCACAGTACCCGTGAGTGTTGCGGGGCACGCGTATCACGGGGGACTCCCCCACCACGATGCTCCTCACGACCCCCAGCAGCAGCAGCTCCAGCCTCTCCGCAGCCTGCGCCGCCCTGCACGGTCAGTTCTATATGCTTCATGTGCACTAGTAGCAGTATTATAATAGTATCATTATCATAGCTTCATAATAATAACATCGTTATTATAGCATCATTATGATAATATCATTATCATAGCATCATAATAACATCGTTATTATAGCATCATTATGATAATATTATTCTAATAGCTTCATTGCAATAATGTGATGCCCTACACAGCCATGGCACTCACGCATTCCTCACATTGTCTAATAACAACATTTTCACAGCACCAGGATAATATCATTATTATCATAGCAGCTACAGTGCGGAAGCGTAAATATTCCCGTTGTTAATCGTTACGGGAGCTGTTGACAAGCGACAGCGAAACTTCATTAGGTAACTATCACCAGAAGCGTAGCTGTGTATTCAGTGTGAACACTTCAAGCACATCAGGCATCATAGTATACAGTTGGTTCCCTCACCACAGCTGGTCTTCTTCTAAGCATCGTTGTTGCGCAGGGGCAGCCAGCTGCGGGAAAAGCGCCACCTGCGATTGCTGAAGCTCGTTCAGCTCCCGCCAGAAATCATCGGTCACTGCCATTTGATCTGCACCGAACAAATCAACTCAACAATATGCGTATGTTATCGCAACACAGTTTATTATTCAATAATTTCAATTGAATAATGCATGACAACATTTTGAATACCTTCTATAATTTTGCGTGTGGGTTAGAGACCAGTCAGACCGAGACCAGTGACCACCAATATATTTTTCTGGATCTCTAACTTAAAATTTACAGAATAGTCTAGTTGTTAGCTAGTTAAGTTCATTTCAGAACATGAAAGCGAATGAAGGAATGATTTACATTGTTCACATTTTTCAAAGATATTTTTCTAAATTACTTTCCAAATAAAAATTTCATTTTCAATTAAAAAAGATGCATGTGCGGTTGTAATTGTCTATAGACTATATTAACCTGAATTTTTCGCAGACTGCAAAACTAGTTGCAATATGCGAATCATGGAATTCGAATGAACTGTTGGCAAAATAAGTTTCAGTTAGAGTGTTAGACTCTATTAGCTGACGACGAACTGACCTAATTTTCGAAAATGCCAAATTCAAATGATAAGTTTGGCAGCTAAGTGAGATAGTCCGAATCCGATGTGATTGTTAATTAGTGACTCACAAACAAGTAATAAAATGACAAACTCTCATCGAAACGATCGTACTTCGTACTATCACAGGTTCACAGTTGACAGTCCTGTTAACGAGTCCGATCGCCGATCCGTTCGCGGTTAGAGAGGTGAAATGGTTGTCTAAGCTGGAAAGTTAGGCATTAAATTTGATATAGAAGATTATTTCTAGCTTTGACTGAGTTTATGGTAAAACACTCTTGTCCCCACTCATTGTTCTGATGTAGTAGGTTGACTAAATTGACTTTGAAAGACACACCCAACGTGAAGTTAGGCTACTCAGCCGACTCAGCCGTGAAGTTAGCCTACTCAACCGTTGAAGTTAGGTACCTACTAAGCCGACTAGAAAACAGTTTTCGATCAGTCATAGATGATTTTGACATTCAATGAGCCATAGCCAATATTAACTAATATCGGGATCAAACTCCTTTAAAATAATAACTTAACGGTGACGAAGCACTTAACGATCTTATCATAACTCATGGGGCCAGGCTGCCTAACGCGTACACGGTACAGCCACAGCCCACAAGTCGTTTCAAGTTCGACGAATCAAAGTATGATTTTTAGGCTACTCCGCTACTCGTTTTAACTTTCTAACAAAATGAGAACATTAACGTATGGCGAACTTGCAAATAGACTACACTTAACTATATTTCACATAAATCACATTGATTTATTGCATGCAGCAGCAGCAGCTTATTGTAAGATAATTTTATTTAGTTAGTTTGGTGATACCTATTAGGCCTACCTGATACGGTACTTGAATAACCAAATCGGTCCTGTCAAGTGTCACTCAGTCATGATCTCATCTCAGCACAACACTGTAACACACGACTTGAAAATTTTTGTCAATTTACGACAAATATTTGAGATTCAATATGACAATTATTGTAATATTCACTGCTAAGTTATAAATCATTCACAATAGCAATAAGAAGTGCAAATTACCTTTAAATTTAGTTACAGCTTTATTGGTACAACGCACTCCGTCACACGCCGCTGAGAGAATGAACTGGACTGGTCCGGAGTGGTCCCTGCTCCCTGGAGCGGGTAACACTTTACCTGACAAAATGGCATTGCAATGGGAACGACGCTTCAACTTCACCGCCATAATCAAGAGGAAAAAGTAGTTCTCCACTGGCCATCCCTAGACTTCAGCATAAATTGAGTAAATTTAAATTATTTATATTTTTTCGTTTTATATACGATCACTATTACAAATTATGTACATTCTTTGGGGAGGTCAAAATTGAGAGAGTCAATCAGCAAACTGACACTTTTGCAGTCACTTCAGCGTTTTAAACTAAAAACACGGTTTACTGGTAATCAACTGACCCCTGACTTTTGCAACAAACCTTTGAATTTTTTTAACTTATAAATGCTCTTTTTATATCAAAATAAGGGTAAAACGTGAGTTGTTCCCGATGACTCACNTTCTTTACTTAAAAATGCTCTTTTTATATCAAAATAAGGGTAAAACGTGAATTGTTCCCCATGACTCACACTCACCAATACAAATTAAAAGTATGTACGGATCCATGGACGTGCAACCAAAATTTAAAAGCAAGTTTTCAAATTTCAATTGAAGAACACCCATTTCATCATCAGCAAAGGGTATACAGCTGATGGCTTCTATGTACTCCTCTGCAAACATGGTGTGTGAATTATGTTATAAAGTCGAGGAAGATTGCAATTAACTCGATTGCAACGAGGACCTTTGATGCAAACGGCTAACAAAAATTTCTGAATGAAAGTTGGTTACTTGTCATCGGCTACTCCGCGGATATGGGAATTATGGCCATAATTCTCAATATTAGACGCTGAAGCCTAACTTCAACCTTGCCAGCGCTGGAGGGAGCAACTAAGGAGCGCGTGTTGGGAGGATGTTTCCAACACTGTTGCGTTTTTTTAGTGCCAACGGCCGCCATAAAAGTTGAGCCGAGCGCTGGGACGGGAGACATGCGGTAGTTCCCGGCGCCTCTAAAACGCCTAGCTAAATGGTAATGGCCTCGCGCTTGATGGACTGCATATAATCGCTATTGCTTCCAAAAATGAAGCCCAAAACAAGGTCGCTTATCCGTCAACGAGCTTCGAGAAATAGACGCTCTTTTGATCGATGACAATTTTCAAGAAACTTGAGATAGAATTGAAATGTGACGAGTAAACCTAAAAGTGTCACAAAGACACAAACGGACATATTTACGGGTCTTTACTATATTGTGTGACAAATTGCAACTTGAAAATACACTGAGTTATAAAAGACTATTTGGAAGAGCACTAATATAATAATTAGCTCGGAGAATGATGTTAAAACAGGCGTCGAGTTCATGAACTTTAAGAGTTCCGTGTCAATAATTAATGTAGTTACAAGAATAAAATATGTTCTTTATTAAAATGATGTACTTATGATTTGCGTTAAGCCTTCATATGTTGACTTACTGCTTTAGCGCATGCTAGAGTTAGGTGATTAAATGTTTGTGGCAATTTAATTGTATGCTCGCTTTGCGTCTTCATAATCACGTTTTTAATCTTAGTTACTTGGATAACTTATTGATCAGACACTAGAGGTTAGGTTAACCTAGTGATGGCGTTCCATAATCATAATAGGATTAGCATGTGGTGCTCGAGAACGTACTCGATGGCATTTTTTAATCCTTATTCGTTAACGGACTGCACTCAGCTGGCATGGTAGCCGGCTTGTATAAACTTACGGCACCATTTGAATGGGGATTTAGGGTTCAATTAAAGACTTATTGTTATTGTCAAGGAAATATGGCGAATATTTCCGAGTAATTCAGAAGCTTAAACATTTAATTCACAGAAATGTGTTAACTTTTCGTTCCAGTTGGACACTGTAATTAGGAGATGCTGTTCTCTTATTAACTTTTATATGAAGATACTTCTCATGAATTATTCCTTCACCAGAAGCTTTTATCGGTGACGAGAGAAGTTGTCAGTAGACTAAGGGCTACCCCTATGTCTGCTGGTACGTTAACTGTCTTCAATGTTTTTCGTATCTAATCGCCTGATCACGAGAGTTACCTTAGATAGACTGTACAGGACTAACTTAACCTATGATATATAAGCAAAACCTTACTTTTCTACACGCCAAAATTTTCATACGGTAAGCAAAAAATATTTACAAATCCAATTAACGTTTAAAATCGCTTTGTTTGAACTTCCGGAGATTAATTTTAGCATTTTTATCAAAAACTTCGATGGTTTTTATTGGTAGTTCTCTCCGATTGGCGAATTTTGTTTAGTAAAGTAAAATAAATGTTGAGTGATATTGTTAAGACCGCAAGTCCTGCGTTCTGGTCTTTCTACCCAAAAATTATTCATAAACAAAGAATATTAGAGTTTTTTCCATAGCATTTTGCGGTAGGCGGTGTAGGTTCTTATTTGTCAGGTGTAAACAGGCTCTAGGCTCCATGGTATGAACACACTATTCTAAATTATTATTATGAACGACACGAGGTGCGGTGGCTCGGATTTTGAGGTATAGGATTTTTTTTAGATTTTGAAGCATGATATTCATTTGTTTTGAGGATGCATTATTGAACAGCGGGGCTTTTGGCCGAGCTTTGAAGACGCAATTAAAAGTTCAGGCGCCATGTGACTCGCAACAAATTTTAACGCGGCGCTACTTTCAAAATTGCCATAAAACTTGATGGCTTTTCCGTCCGCCATCGATGTAACGAGAGAAATTGTCAACCTAGAATTTCTGGTTTAGTTTTTTTCATATAAAAATGTATTGTGGGCAGTAGAATCTAGGCATAGGCGTGGAAAATTACTAATTTATGTCAAGCGTCAGAATTACGTATTATTTTCTGGTGGTATAAGCTACTATTACATGATTTTTTAATGAAGAAATTGAACAATAACTGCATATAATTATCCCATGTGAATTAAAATACGTTTTCTATTCTTCAATTCCGTTATAAAACCTTCATAAACCAATAATCCATTCAAGGCTCGGGGCCCATACTTTCAAAACTCGCTAAGTGCACGTGAGTACTTACGCTCTACTATCTTGTCTATGATTGGTGGATTTTGCGTGAAAGGACGTCAATGATTGGCTGATGAACTTACGATCTCTTAATTTTTTCAAGTATAGGCCCAGCTAAATGTTAAATTAAACAAGCACCGCAACTCTGGTGAGTGCATTCAACTTAACCGTGTCATGCAAGTGGGTCAACTTGACTCATATTGTCAGCTATTTTACGCTTTGCACTTGAAGTGCCACACGTAGAGAACATCGCCTTATCTTCTACAAATGTTACAAGCAGCGGTCCCTGCTCGGTACAGGCAGGATTAAGATCATAACTACTATGATCACAAGTATTTAGGTGCACGTAAACTACGGCGTATGATCACAAGTATTTAGGTGCACGTAAACTACGGCGTATGATCACAAGTATTTAGGTGCACATAAACTGCGGCGTATGATCACAAGTATTAAGGTGCACTTAAACTACGGCTTATGATCACAAGTATTAAGGTGCACGTAAACTGCGTCGTATACAATTACATTGAGATAAAACATTCGTTGACCATTCAATGTGTAAGCATTTTTCCCCTTTGTTATTGTGTTAACATATGAAGGACATTGTTTAATACATATTTTACTTATTTATTACCAAGAATTACATACATGCACGGACGAACAGCCGGTAATTGCACTAAACATTTTTAAATTAAAGTTTCCCCTGAATTTTGCACCCTAACAAAAACTCGATGCATGGAGAGAACGCGACCAGTNTTATTTTGATATTTATTATTACTATTTGATTATTATTTATTATTATTCAGATTATTTTTCTGATGTAAAGATAGACGGGATGAATGTTATTCAGCATCGCCGCATGTCGGTGCAGAGGTCTCTATAGTGCGTATTGATGAGCCTGTGACTGTGGCGGTCCCGCAGCTTATAAGTTATTTCCTAGCGCGTCAAACTTTCTTGCAAGCCCCGCCAATAATTCCATTGTCGAGAAACTATTCACAGCCCGTGCAAAGTTCTTGCTGAATTACTCCGCATGATTAAGCAGGAATGTGGCTTGAGAATTGCTATGTTTCTACACAAATTTATGTACGATTATACTTGAAAACATTATTGATAAAGAAAATGCAAGAAATCTTCTGCGCAATTCTCCATAATTCTCTAAAGAAATGAATAACAGCAAGAAAAGCTTTCGACCACCATTATTAGTGACGGCCACTCGTCGCAATCGTCACAAAATCCACAGGCAGCATTCCTCAGAAAATTCGCATTGTACACTTAATTTGGTAAATTACTTGGTTTAACCGAGCATTTTCGTGTTAGTTGACGTATGACTTTGCGCTATGAGATATGGCGGCTCAGTGAGTGAAATATATAAGCGGATTGTGATGTAGGCCGCTCGTACTGCAGCACCAGACTAAACAACTGAACTTTATCAGTGCAGGGGGTTGAACTTGAATATTTCCAGCACTTCATAGAAAACGAAGGACTTGATGGATGATAGAGATGCAACTTAAATCAAAATAAGGAATTTATGGAAGAACCCAGTGAATGGCAGGCACTGAATCTGTTGTTCGTAGTAGTGAACTAGTAAGATTCTGTAAAATTCTGTAAACAAAAATAATAAACGTAACAAAATGTGGCAATAATACTTAACCATAGTTATTCCTAACGAAAAAATTATAATTCACAAGTAGCACAATACATTCTATGAATATCACCAAGAACACTGGTCACGTAAGTTACCTTATCAATGCAGCGTAAGCTGCTTTGCGACGCACAGATTAGAAAGTAACGCGCATCTTTTTTTTCTTTAATTGAAATTTATGGGAGCCTCTGAAGACTGGTTCAATGCGGCCCCACGTCAGAACAGTTGAAGGAACTTGGCTGAATTATGGTTTCTTGTACAAAATCGGGTGTCTTGAAAAAAAACCTCAAGATTTCTCAATGGCTGATGGGCTACAGAACGGGGCCACCAAAGTGGAGACCACACCGGGGCGGAGAGCACCATTC